TGAGTTTATTTTTGTGTATGGTGTAAGTTGGAGGTCTAGTTTCATTTTTTTTACATGTATCTGTCCACTTTTCCCAGCACCATTTGTTGAATAGACTGTCTTAACTCCATTGTATGTTCATGCCTCCTTTGTCAAATATTAATTGAGCATAGTGGTTTGGGTAGATATCTGGGTTCTCTATTCTATTCCATAGATCTGTATGTCTGTTTTTGTGCCAGTACCAGCTGTTTTGAGGACAGTGTCTTTGTAATGCAGTTTGGTATCTGGTATTGGGATACCTCCTACTTTATTCTTCTTTCTCAGGATTGCTGTGGCTATTTGGGTCTTTTTTTTATTCCAGATGAATTTTTGGAGTGCTCTTTCTAGGTCTGTGAAGTATGCTGTTGGTATTTTAATTGGGAGTGCATTAAATCTATAGATTGTTTTGGGTAGTATGGACTTTTTAATGATGTTGATTCTACCAATCCATGAACATGGTATGTTCTTCCATCTGTTTACATCTTCCTCTATCTCTTTTCTCAGTGTCATGTAGTTTTCTGCATAGGTCTTTTATCTCCTTAGTTAAGTTTATTCCTAGGTATTTTAATTTTTTTGGTGCAATGGTAAATGGGATTGCTTTTTTAGTCTCTGTTTCTGTAAGTTCATTATTGGTGTATAGAAATGCCATAGATTTCTTGGTGTTAATTTTGTATCCTGCTACCTTGCCAAATTCATTTATTAAGTCTAATAATTTTTTGATGGAGTCTTTAGGGTTTTCTATGTACAGTATCATGTCATCTGCAAATAAGGACAGTTTTACTTTTTCTTTTCCAATTTGGATGCCTTTTATTTCTTCTTCTTGTCTGATTGCAATGGCTAGAACTTCCAGCACTATATTGGACAGGAGTGGTGAGAGTGGGCATCCCTGTCTTGTTCCTGTTCTTAGAGGGAATGGTTTTAATTTTTGCCCATTGAGTATGATGTTGGCTGTGGGTTTGTCATATATGGCTTTTATTATGTTGCGGTATGGTCCTTCTATTCCTACCTTGCTGAGGGTTTTTATCAGGAAAGGGTGTTGGATTTTGTCAAATGCTTTTTCTGCATCAATTGATACGACTATGTGGTTTTTATCTCTCAATTTGTTTATGTGATGTATCACATTTATTGATTTGCGAATATTGTACCATCCTTGCATCTCCGGGATAAATCATACACCATGACCAAGTTATCTACTTGGTCATGGTGTATGATCTTTCTTATGTACTGCTGGATCCAATTTGCTAGAATTTTATTGAGGATTTTGGCATCTATGTTCATGAGGGATATTGGCCTGTAATTCTCTTTCATTGTGTTATCTTTATCTGGTTTTGGTATTAGGGTGATGCTAGCTTCATAGAAGGAGGAGCTGGGAAGTGCTCCTTCCTCTTGAATTTCCTGGAATAGTGGGAGGAGGATAGGTTTTAATTCTTCCTTGAATGTTTGGTAAAACTCCCCTGTGAAGCCATTTGGCCCTGGGCTTTTGTTTGCTGGAAGCTTTTTGATGACTACTTCAATTTAATCTGTAGTTATCTGCCTATTGAGATTTTTGGTATCTTCTTGATTAAGTTTTGGAAGGTTGTATTTTTCTAGGAATGTGTCCATTTTCTCTAAGTTGTCTAGTTTATTAGAATAGAGTTGTTCATAGTATTTTGTAACAATCATTTGTATTTCTGTGGGGTCTGTTGTTATTTCACCTCTTTCATTTCTGATTTTGTTTATTTGGGTCCTCTCTCTTTGCTTTTTGGTGAGTCTGGCTAGAGGTTCATCAATCTTATTTATTCTTTCAAAGAACCAGCTCTTGGTTTTATTGATCTTTTCTATTGTTTCTTTGGTCTCTATGTCATTCATTTCTGCTCTGATCTTTATTATTTCTTTCCTTCTGCTCACTGTGGGCTTTTCTTGTTGCTCTCTTTCTATTATAATTCTTTGAGTTGTTGAGTTAGATTATTTATTACCCTTTATGTAGTTTTTTGAGGTAGGCCTGTAGAGCTATACACTTCCCTCTTAGGACTGCTTTCATTGTGTCCCATAGCATTTGCAGTGTTGTGTTTTTATTGTCATTAGTCTCCAGGATGTTTTTAATTTCTTCTTTGATCTCACTGACAACCCAATCATTGTTTAGTAGCATGCTATTCAGCTTCCAGGTGTTTGAATTTTTTGGAATGTTTTTATTGTAGTTTATTTCTAATATTATGCCATTGTGATCTTAGAAAATGCTTGATATGATTTCAATCTGTTTTAATTTGGGGAGACTTTGCTTGTTATCCAATATGTGATCTATTTTTGAGAACGTCCCATGAGCACTTGAGAAGAATGTATATTCCTTGGCTTTGGGGTGAAATTCTCTGAAGATGTCAATGAGGTCCATCTGGTCTAGTGTGTCATTTAGGATTGCTGTTTCTTTGCTGATTTTGTGTCCATAGGATTTATCCATTGATGTCAGTGGTGTATTAAAGTCTCCTACTATGAGTGTATTGATGTCTATCTCTTTCTTGATATCTTCCAGAATATTTTTTAATGTATTTTGGTGCTCCTGCATTGGGTGCATATATGTTTACCAGAGTTATATCTTCTTGCTGAATTGCTCCCTTTAGTATTATGTAGTGGCCTGTCTTATCTCTTGTTACAGCCTTTACTTTGAGGTCTATTTTATCTGATATAAGTATCGCAACCCTGGCTTTTTTCTCATTTCTGTTTGCCTGAAAAATTTTTTTCCATCCCTTCACTCTCAGACTGTGTGAATCCTTTGCTCTAAGATGGGTTTCTTGAAGACAGCAAATACATGGGTCATGTTTTCTTATCCAATCAGCTACCCTATGTCTTTTTACTCGTGCATTTAATCCATTTACATTTAATGTTACAATTGATAAGTACCTGTTTGTTGTCATATTTACCCTTAGTATTTGTGTTTCTCCTTGCCTTTCTCTTTCTTCTTTTTACAGCAGTCCCTTTAGCATTTCTTGCATTGCTGGCTTGGTAGTGATGAATTCTCTTAGCCCTTTTTTGTCTGTGAAGCTTCTGAACCCTCCATCAATTTTGAATGATAGCCTTGCTGGGTATAGTATTCTTGGATTCAGTCCCTTGTTTTGCACCACTTTGTATATTTCATTCCATTCCCTCCTGGCCTGGTGTGTTTCTGTTGAGAAATCAGTTGCTATTCTAATAGGAGATCCCTTGTATGTAACTTTCTGTCTCTCTCTTGCAGCCTTTAAGATTCTTGCTTTGTCATTGGCATTTGTCAATTTAATTATGATGTGTCTTGGTGTTGGTCTTTTGAGGTTCAATTTGTTTGGGACTCTCTGTACTTCTTGGACTTGAATATTTTTTTCCTTGCCAATATCAGGGAAGTTTTCTGTCATTATTGCTTCCAGGAGGTTTTCTTGCTTTTCTTCTTCTCCTTCTTGTATCCCTATTATTCTAATGTTGTTTCATTTTGAGTTGTCCCATAGCTCTCTTAGGCTCTTCTCTTGCTTTTTAAGTCTTCTTTCCAGTTGCTGCTGCGTTTGTGTGTTTTTTTCTACCTTGTCTTCTACTTCGCTGATGTGGTCCTCAGCCTCTTCTATCCTACTTTTTAAGCCTTCCACTGTGTTTTTTATTGCAGCTATATCGTTCTTCATCTCCTCTTGGTATTTTTTCATGTTGGTTACATTCTCATTCATCTCCTTATAATTCTCCTTGAGTTGAGTGTAATTGTCATTGAGTTGTGTGCATTTATCCTCTAGCCATTTAAACATCTTTATAACCATTCCTCTGAATTCTGTCTCTGATAGACTGCTAACTTCGAATTCATTTAACTCCCTTTCTGGTGATTGCTCTTTCCCTTTCCTTTGTTGATTGCTTTTTTTGTCTTCCCATGTTTTCCTGTAGCGTTTTAATTGTAGGTCCAATTGCCTTACTTCCAGGTTCCTTTGGGAATGGTGTTACTGGTATAATGTCTCAGTTCCCCTGGGCTTGTTAATCTAGTGTAGCTCCCTTGGGTTCAAGCTATTTGGGTTCTCTTGATGTAGATCTGTAAACTTGAGATGTACAACTGTGGTGTCTACAAGTCAGCTGATGTGGAGGGAAGTTTCTTAATTTTTGCTGTCTTGTACCCTTAATTATAATCACGTGTGTCCTGAAGGGACTTGCAGTGGTCCCCAGGAACCGTCTGTTGGGGTTTTGTGGTTCAGGGAACTTGCTATTGGAAAGGTGTGGCTAAGGTGCCCAGAGATATGCAGTTGTGGGATGGGCTGGCCCAGCTTTTGTTGTTTCACTTGTGGTGAGTAGGTGCTTACTTCCAGTGGTGGTTCACTGGAAAACCCAAGATAGATTGCCAGTGAGGTGCACTAAATGACTCTGAAGGGCCCTAGCAGTGTAGTTGCACAGTTGAGGTGCCTGTGTGTCAGTATCTATCCTCTAGCAAAGTGAATTCTGCTGGATGGGTGTGCGCCTCCTGCTTGTTCAAGATAGCATCCAAGGCAAGCTCACTGTGGCTCCCACTAGTGGCTTACAGAGGTCTGCTGGAACCTCACTTCTGCAGTGGCGTATCCGTGGATATGCACTCTCAGGGCTCTGAGCCTCTATGTATACCTAGGGGTCCCAGCACTCAGTTGAACAGCTGGGCTAACCTCCAGGAAGGGGCGTTCAGAATTTTCACTGTAGGGCCTCGAGCCCTTGTTTGTACAGAATCCACTCTTGGGTGTTCTTGGTGTCTCCATTGCACCACCCCAAGACAGTCATGCAAGCCTGGATTGGGATGTCCTATTGTCTATGGGGTTGAAGTAATGAGTGCCCCAGGATAGGCGCGCAACCTTGGGATGGGGCGTTCTTGCTAGTCTTAGCCTGTGCAAGCCACTAAGGAGTGAATCCAAGGTTTTGCTGTTGGGTGCCAGCGGAAATGTGGGGGCAAATCAGGCACGAGTGGAGGAGGCGGGGAAGTGGGTATGTGAAAGGGGAGGGCAGGCACGTGCTCACTGACTCAGGGGAACCTGGGTCTTGCTGCTGGGCTGCAGCCAGCTAGAGTGTCGGCGAATGCGTGAGTCTGGGCCCGAATATGGGAATTCTGGTGAGGGGCAGCGAACGTGGGAGTCTGGGTGAGGGGCAGCGAGCCTGGGTGAGGGGGGGCAAGCCTGAGTGAGGGGGTGAGCCTGGGTGTGGGGCGGCGAGCCTGGGTGAGGGGCCGGGAACCTGGGAGTCCGGGTGGGGGTTGGGGAACGCCCGGACATGCGAATCCAGGCACAAGGAGAGGTGAGGGGGTTAGAGGGGGGGGGGGGGGGGGGGGGGCGGGCGCGAGCTAACTAGGGTCTGGCTCAGGAGCAGATCCAGGAAGGCCGGCAATCCAGGGTTTTGTTATGTGGCACAAGCAGAGTCGAGGTGGGGAAGGAGGGGGGCACAAACAGGGTTTTGTGTTGGGGAGGGGGAGTGCACTTACAACTGCCACGATCAGAGTACCTTTGGATGTGGAGGTCTGGGAGTCTGCAGCTGGTGGTGGTGTTGCTGGGTTTCTAAAAAAGGCCCTTCTCCCCTTCCAGATGGTGGGGCTTCGCTCTAGGATTCCGCCGCCCTGGGAGAGCCCCCATCAGTGTTAGTCTCTCCTTGTCAAGGAGATGCCTTCTGCCAGCTCTTGCTGCTCCTGTGTGATTTAACTTTCCCTCACTCACTCACACTTACCCCACACCTGTCCACACACGCTCCTTTCCTACTCTCAATCACTTCCTCTCTCTCAGCTCTTTCCTGCCAGCCGCCATCTTTCTCCTCCCCTCTGTCTCCTCTTCCCATGACATTCTTTTTAAATATATATATGTTTTTATGGATTTTGGGGTAGAAACATTGATGAGAGAGAAACATCATTGATCAGCTGCTTCATGCACGCTCCCCACTGGGGATTAAGCACAAAACCCAGGCATGTGTCCTAACCGGGAATCAAATTGGTAACCTCTTGGTTCCTGGGTTGATGTTCAACTGCTGAGTCACACCATCCAGGCTTCCCTGACATTCTTAACCTTTATCTACAGTTTGGAAATATACAACCATGAAGTGTGAATCTGAGCCTGAGAAATTATGAGGCGGTATGGTAGGCAGAAAAGCTGTCCACATCTAGTCCCTGGAATCTCTGATTTTATTATTTTACATGACTTTGCAGATGTGATTCAGTTAAAATATGGAGATTATTCATTGTTGGGGTGTGTCCCACCTAATCACATGGGTCTTTTAAAGGCAGAAACGCTTTTCTGGCTATTGTCACAGGAGATTTGTCTGTGGAGGAGTGTCCAGAGAGGTGCAACATTGCAGGCTTTGAGAATGGAGAGAGTCCATGGAGCCAAGGAATGCAGAAAGCCTCTAGAATCCAGAAAAGAAAAAAAATGGATTCTCCTGGAGCCCCCAGAAGGAACCCAACCCTGCTGACACCTTGATTTTAGCACAGTGAGCCCATGTCAGACTTCGAGAGGAAATGTGTTCTGGCTCTACTTTTCACTCTTTCTTTGACTTTCCCTTCTTCTCTGTGGAATGTTCTCAAGCTGACTTTACCTCATGGTAGCAAGGTGATGATTAGCAGCGACTAAACAATAGACTTCGGAGGAGAATCCAAGATGGCGGCATATGTAACACCTAACTGCAGCCTCACACAACAATTACAATAAAATACAACTAAAATACAAAATGGACATTACCCAGAACTACAGGAAAGTCGACTGACTGGAAATTCTACAATGAGAAGGAAAGAGAAAACCAGAAGGAAAATCAGAGGAGCTGTAAAAGCCTAAGGTACGAAGACACATTGCGCATGTGGAGAGGACGGAGCCGGAGAGGAGGGGGAGGCTGAGTGTGTGGCTGGTGTTCCCTAGCAGGAAGGAGATAAAAGCTCTGAACTGTGCTGAACCCCAGAACCAACGGCGCTGAACCCCAGTTCTAAGCCAGACCTTGGGGACCCAGGTTCATACAGAGGGAGCCTGGGCTGTTAGGCGGAATCTCAAGGGAGCGGTGAAAGGCAGAGCCCCCGGAGGTGCGCACATTATGCACAGAGGACAGATCATTGACTCTGCTGCTAGATTGCCCTAGTGGGAAGGAGACAAAAGCTCCAGACTGTGCTGAGCCCCAGTTATGACTGCACTGAACCTCAGTTCTAGGCCAGACCCTGGACACCCAGGCTCATATGGAGGGAGCCTGGGCTGTAAGGCAGAAACTCAGGGCAGCGGTGAAAGAAAGTCCCGGAGGTGCGCACATTGTGCACAGAGAACGGGCAGTTGACTGTGCTGCTGGATTGCCCTAGTGGGAAGGAGACAAAAACTCAGAGCAGTTCAGGCTGCTCTGAACCCCACTTCCAACTGAACTGAACCCCAGTTCCAGGCTCATTAGGGGAGAGCCTAGACTGTTTGGTAGCAGGCGAAACTCGAGGGCACCTCACTCTCAGAGGTGCTTGCAACGAGTACTAAAGGACCCTGAGGAATATTGAGACTCAGGAGCCTCATAAGGCATGGCTGACAGAAGCCAAGGCTGTAGGCTCCACCCTGAAACTTCGCACCATCCAAGCTGAACACAGAGACTTTTAAGGCTACCAACTCAGGGAAGCTGCGAAAATGCCGAGACAAGAAAACACATCACAAATGAAAGAAAAGGAGGACAAAAAGCGACTGGATATAGAGTTTAAAACCACGCTTATAAGGTTTTTCAAGAATTTCCTAGAAAAGGCCGTTAAGACCTATGAGGGTATGAAAAGGGATCAACTAGAAATAATAAGGGATCAACAAGAAATAATAAGGGATCAACAAGAAATAAAGAATACCTTGTCTGAAATAAAAAATATTATACAGAGTCCTAAAAACAGAATGGAAGATCCCAAGAATCAAGTGAAAGATTTAGAACCTAAAGAGCCAGAAGATACTCCTCTGCAAGAAGACAAGAGAATCCAGAAAGTTGAAGATAATGTAAGAAACCTCTGGGACAACTTCAAGCGAACCAACATCAGAATTATGGGGGTCTCAGAAGATGAGAGAGAGCAAGATACCGAAAACATACTAAAAGAAAAAGTGACAGAAAACTTCCCCCACCAGGTGAAAGAATTAGACCTTCAAGTCCAGGAAGCGCACAGAACCCCAAACAAAAGGAATCCAAAAAGGACCACACCAAGACACATCATAATTAAAATCCCAAGAGCAAAAGACAAAGAGAGAATATTAAAAGCAGCAAGAGAGAAACAGGTAGTTACCTATAAAGGAGCACCCATATGATTGTCAGCTGATTTCTCAATATTTTAGTATTATTGATTGCCCTATTGTATTTTTATAACAAATATATACATATAAATCCATTTTATAATTCATTTTATTTCCTATTACTGTAAGTGTTAAAACCTTATTTAAATTGAGTTATCATTACAGTTACTTTTTGCATACAGTTGATCAAAATAATATAAATGTATTATAAAGTTTGATAAACATGTACTAAAGAAAAATTAAACTTGTATTAGAAATAAACATAATATGATTTTAAAAAAACAACTACTATATCTAGATGAATATTATTTATTTTTAGAATGAGAGAAGGGTTAGCATCAATTACTTTCTCAATTTTATTTTTATAAAAGAGAGAATATTTATTTATGTACAGGCATACTTCAGTGATATTGTGGACTTGTTTTTCCAGACTACCACTATGAAGTGATTATCCCAATAAAGCATGTCATAATCTTTTTGCTGGTAGAAGGTCTTGCCTTCAATTTGTAAAAAACACAACATCTGTGAGGGGGGCAATGGAAAGATATGTACACATATAATACCTTAATAAAAAAAAAACACCCCATAACATCTGTGAAGCACAATAAAGTGAGCTATCCCTGTATATAATTAAATAACTGTGGAAGGAGTCTTGCTACAGCAACATCATTCTAGTCCTTGAACTTTGACATTTCAAGGGTTATTATAACAACTGCTGAGAAATAACTTATAAGATAGATTTTGAAAGTCATGTGGTTATTGTTTAAATCACATGGACCTGATAGAATTGATTTGTCCATTCTACCTGGCAAGGAATCATGATTATCTGAGATGCTTGATGAGGTAATAGGAATATGAAAGGTAAGAACTATATACGCATGCCCAGTTGCAAATACAATATTATGGGTATTTCTTGTTTTTAAATATATCAACAAAATATTTTTAATTAAATTTTTTATAGAGAATCTACTTGCTGTACTACTTATTTATGCATTCATTGGTTAATTCTTGTATGCCCTGACTGGGGGTCGAACTTGTAACCTTGGTGTAATCAAATTAACAAGGGGTAGAGTGTTGTGGCTTTGAAAAGTGTCAAATTGGCTAGGCTGGAATGCATTACTCAGAATTTCCTTTCCTATGTTTCCTGTTAGGGTTCAACATGTAGGAGATTCTTGGTGGGTTTGGAGGGTGGAAGGGAAGCAGCTCATACACTGTTATCTGCTGGCTCACCTTGTCTGCAAGAGGCAGCAGGTGGGTCTACTTTAAGTCTTCTGACTCCTGGGCAAGGATCTGTATTTAGCTACATGGCGAAAGACCCTGGCTTCTGAAGGACACTTTCAAGTCAGAGGCAACAAAAACTGATGTAGGTTTCAGTCTGCCTCTGTGGGCTCCACTGGTGCTTGTGGGTTCCAGCTTGTTCTTGCTGCCTCACCACCTCCCACACACACACTTTACATCCATCTTCCCTTCATAACTGCCTGCTCAGCATCAGTCAGGAAGACCAGGGCCTTAGTGTGGATGGTAAATTTTATGTGTCAACTTGACTGGGCTAAGGGATGCCCCCATAGCTGGGAAAGTTTTTCTGTGTGTGTCTGTGAGGATGTCTCAGAAGAGTTTAGCATTTGAATTAGTGAAGCAGGCAAAGCAGAAGGCCCTGTCCAATCTGGCCAGGTATGATCCCTGGCATGATCTAATCTACTGAGGACCCTATCACTTAACTCACACAGTTGCATGAGGTCTAATTCCTGTAACAAGTCCCAGCTTAGTGGTTTGTTTTGCTTCTTTGATAAAACCCTGATTGGATAGTAGGTTATAAAAATAAATTAAAACCAATATGCTATTTAAAAAATTTATAATACTGCAATGCAATCTGTGGCTTACATGGTAAGTTGTTTTATTGTTGAAGCCAGTTTTTGGTAAAGGCATGGTATTCCTCCCATAATGGAGCGAGGGAGCACATAGAAACCCTGGTTTTCTGTTTTAGAGAATTATTATATTAGAATTTAGCATAATAGTCAGAAACAACTATAATGCTGTTTTGAATACTGTAATCAAACTTTTCCAATTTATTTTTAAAAAAGAGAAAGTTAAATACTGCTAAAAACTAATTGGCCTAGCAGCTAGCATATAACTTTTATATTTTTATTAATAGGAGATTAAAAAATTAAACATTTTATAAAATAAAATAAATGAGATTTTACTGTAATTAAAATAAATATTTCATAAGAAAATATGTTTTAATGAACTAGTAGCCATATACACTAAACCTAAGGAAATACTATCCATAGATTAATTATTCCAGTGTATCTTGAAAATCTCACCAATCTGGAAAATATTTTTGTTCATTTAAAAGAATCAGCATCACTACCCTCTACTTCGTCTGCTCAAAGTTGCTTTTCTTTCCAACTAAAGATGTGAGTATTGAGAATAGCAGAAAATATTATTGTTTAAATACATGAAAAAAGTTATTTTTAGCAGTCAGATTTCTATCTGTGCTCTGTTTGCTTTGTTCTCATGAAATTTTCCCTCAGATGATTCATCCTTTGAAAAACAATGGACAAGAGAGATGAATGAACAGACTATAGGAAAAGAATTGCAAATTGCTTATAATCATAAGGGAAAAGATTGAGCCTCATTCAAAATAAAGGAAATGAAAGGGAAAACTGTTGAGAGAAGTGAAACTCATGGAGAAGTGAGGGGGAGAGACCTGGGTGTGCACTGGGCCAGTAGGTGATGGGAATGCATGGATGAGAGGTTCAGAGCTGGGATTCAGCGACTCTGGCTTCCAAGTGGCAATGATGAATGAAGAGGATATCTCCAAGCATTAGTGATGTGGAGGAGCAAACAGCCACTCCTTGAGATGGCTGAAATAAAAACTCAAGGTAAATAAAAACTCAAAATAAAATTGGCAAAAAAACAAAGAAACACAAAAAACAAACAAACAAATGTTTGACAACTTTGTTGACAGGACTCTGGGGAAACATATTTTTATATTGTTGGTGGGAATGTAAAATAGTATAACCCTTGTGGAAGGGATTTGATAAAATCTAGCAATAGTCCATATGCATTTGCCTCCATTCCACATATAGATAACCATTTTACAGATTTAATGGCACAAATATGAAATCACACACACACACACACACACACACAGACAAACACACACACATGACTCTTCGTTGCAGCACTAAACTGTAAGTGCAAATGGAGAGAATGCAAATGTTAATATATAAAGGACTAGTTGAAGAGCTATGGTACATATTTGCAATGGTGTACTACACAGTTATAAAAATGAAAAGAATTTTATGGACAAATAGTCCACTTCTTTCCATAAATAAGTGGCAGGAATAAAAAATGGGCAAGAGGAACTATTAGGTTAAAATAGATTTAATAAAAATGCAATGCATGAACCTTGTTTAGATTCTATTTCCAACAAAACAACTGAAAAAGATATTTTGAGATGATTAGGTAAATTTAAATAAGGCCTGGATATTAGATGATATAAAGGAATCATTTTTATCTACAGAAATTTGTGCAAGAGTATGGTCCCTAGGCCTGGCCTGTGATCAGGACCATCTTCCCTGGCTGCCAGCAGTCGGCCTCACCCCTTGCCACCACCGACCCCTGGTTCCTTCTCCATCATGTGATCAGATTTTGTGAATAAAGAAAAATTCTACCACTTAGAATAACTGTTGTTAATACTTTCATGTCTTCTAAGTATCTCCTTTTCAGGCCTCTATGTGGCTATATTGGACAATATTGGGAATAACCTGTATTGACAGTTTTGTATCTTGCTTTTGTCATTTAGTCTTTGAATATATATATTTTTACTTTTAAGAGTTAAGAAATATAATAAGGTCAGGATGGTGTGGCTCAGTGGTTGATCTTCAACCCAAGAACCAAGAGGTCACGGTCCGATTCCTGGTTAGGGCACATGCCCGGGCGGTGGGCTTGATCCCCAGTAGGGGGTGTGCAGGAGGCAGCGATCCACCATGATTCTCTCTCATTATTGATCTTTCTATCTCTCTCCCTCCCCCTCTCTGAGATCAATAATATATAATATATATCTATATCTATATCTATATCTATCTATCTATCTATATATATATAAATATAATAAAAAGGCACAATGGGGTATGCAGTGTGTGTGTGTGTGTGTGTGTGTGTGTGTGTGTGTGTGAGAGAGAGAGAGAGAGAGAGAGAGAGAGAGAGAGAGAGAGAGAATTTGTGTATCCATGATTCTATTTTCCAGCTTGTTCCCCAAAAAGGCAATAGATGTTTTCTCCGCCCTCCCAGACCTTCTAGTCTGGTAGAAGAAGTGATACTAGTACATGTGCATAGTTAATGTCAGCACAGTGGCAGTGCATAGTAAGTCATTGGCACCTTGGGAATGGGATAAATCTATATGTGCACACTCCGGGTGTCTTCCTAGTTTAGTAGTTGACATTGAGGAACTATAACAATAATCATGAAGCTTGCCCTAATCTGTGAATGAACAATTTTTCTGCTTTTCAAAGGCAGAAATCATTAAAAGGTTTGGTAAGCTTATGACTAAGCGATGTTGGAATCAATGGAATCTGTCTGATTTTCACATTCCCCACCTCTGAGCGGCCACACTGTAGTGCTCTGTTGTGCCAGAGGCAATTAGAGTCCTGGGGAGCTCTGCCGCCTGGCTCTGGAATGTTTTTGGGGCAAGGAATCCAGAAGAAGTTTTGCTCTTCCCTTCTTGCTGTGCCATGGGAAAACACTAATTTAAAGTACCTACAGCTAAGTGATGGAGAAGCTAGAATGAGACATTAGCCATGCATGGAGATTGCCCGTTAATGAGGGGACAGGACCCAGTCTCCAGTAATTGAGACTTAACTGAATTCCCATAAAAAGTCAGACTTTCAGATAGAAGCGGCCTGGGAGATCAGAAGTGAACCCATGATGGATGGGTACCCTTTCCAGAGGCAGAGAATTCCCAGCTTGTGTGTGTCTCCTGGTGTGTTTCATGTAATTTTCTTTGTCAGTGCCTGATCACCGTTATTATAAAATGCATAATGCAAAGACCAAGGGTAGCCTATGCCTTTATAGCTGAGGCTCTGCAGACCTAACTGGTTACTCTTCCAGAAAATAGAAGTAATATTCTACTGCTTTTTATTGTCTTTCCTGGGAAGCTTTCAGGATTTTGGTGAATTTGGGTATACTCACTGCCCAAAGAGAAACTCCATTGACATGATTCATGGTGATTTTACTTGAGAAATAAAATCAACTCACCTTTCTGCAAAGATTTGCATATGTTATTTATTTCCCGTAGTGCAGTTGGGGAGATATTTTACAAGAAAGTGTGCAGACCTTATTTGGCATTGTTTATTAAAGGAAAAGAGTCACAAATATTTTTGGTACACACCCTTTCTGAAGGAAGGAAAACAATCACTACATGACAGGCTGAACACCAGGTGGCGATGTTTCAGAGGACACCCTTCTTCCCTCCCCTCACCCCACCCCCCACACACACACACACACACACACACACACACACACACACAGGAACCCTCTGCTCCCAGACCTCTGGTCTTTAGACTGGGGTGTTCTGAAGGATGTAAACAAATTGGCAAAGGCCTGAGCATTTTTCTGATATGCTTGCATGGAACAATCAGGCAACCTCAAGTCAGGTTTCATTTTGAGAAGAGCTTCAGTGAATTTAGCCCTGAGATGAGGAAGCCCTCTGTGGGCTTAATCTCATTCAGATGGAAATTGTTACTCTTGGTCCTCTGACCATGGACATTTTTCTTAGCAAGACAGGAAGTGGGAATTTAGGCTGCAATGGAATAATAACGACAAAAGAAATACAGTAAACCCTTAATTTTTCGGATCTTAATTTAATGTACTTTGGATTTAATGGACAAAACTTCTGACCTGTACGTCCTATATAAAAATTAACACCCTGTTAATTTTAAAATGAGTTTAATCAAGATTTTCCTATAATTAAATTAACAGGTTATTCTCATTATTAATTCACTGTTATTTTTTTAAGTATTTTTTTTATTTCAAAGAGGAAGAGAGAGGGAGAGAGAAAAACATCAATGATGACAGAGAATAATTGATTGGCAGCCACCTGCATGCCTCACACTGGGGATCGAGCCTGCAATCCGGGCATGTGTCCTAACTGGGATTGGACTGAGACCTCCTGGTTTGTAGGTCAATGTTCAACCACTGAACCACTCTGGCTGGCTGGGCTTCACTGTTATTTTTAACAAATTTTAGAGAATAGGCCATATGTTGGAAAATATTAGATATTATATTTACAACTATAGTCTACATCAGTGTTTCCCAAAGTTCTCTCATGATGAGAATCACCTGGTGGAGTTGTTAAAATACAGATTCCTGAATCCCAACTAAGAAGTGCTAAACTAGAATTTTTGGGAACATATAGGTAAAATTGTATACTTAACAAGTGCTCTCTTTATATAAGTAAACAATTTTATATACTTCATATAAGTATATAAAATTGTATACTTAACTAGTGTATACTTAACCATTGACTGCTGAGCAGGAGGGATATTTGGTGCTGTTTCTTGTGTATCTGTAAATCTTAGAGCACTAGTTAAGTATACAATTTTACCTATATGTTCCCCAAAATTCCAGTTTAGAATTTCTTAGTTGGGATTCAGGAATCTGTATTTTAACAACTCCACCATGAGAGAAGTTTGGGCAACACTGGTCTACATATTTAATTGCAGTAGTCACCACTCATAACAATGTTCAGCGAATGATTATTACGTGGTGACACCTCGCAGCGCAGGGGGAACTGGTTCTGTGGTCACCTGCTGTGGCTTCCTGCAGCGGTTTTAACTGTGCTGGGCCACGCCTCAAGCCAAGCCCCTGCCCCAGGCCCCAGCCGGTGCATGAGTTTCCTAGTGCTGAAAGGTGAATGAAGAATTTACTAGACCTACTCAGTATAATTTTTTTTTGTTTGTTTCCACTGCATTTATTACTAACACACACAAAAACATTAAAAAGAAAAAAATTCATTTTCAGTTCTCCAACGGCTCTCACCCTCTCTCTTGTCCGCACTCCTCCTGACCCATGTCCTCAGGGCCAGCTCCAGACTGAGTCTGCTCACTGCCGTTTTCACAGAAAACAACCATAGGCAGAACGCGGGGACGGAGGTGGGGAGCCGGGCAGGATGTCCGGGTGGAGATTCACAGAATTCAGACGGAGGCCTGTGGCCTCTGTGACGGAGCCTAAGGGAACCGGGCTGTAGAGGAAGAAGGGTTGGCCCGCCAGGGGCCTAGAGCTCATCTCATGGGCCCATCAAACCCAGAGGAGCCACACCAGAAGCAGGGAGGCCAGGGGCAGACTCAGGGAAGTCCCCATGCTCCCGTGTTGGGGTGGGAGAGCCCAGAGGGCACCGAGCGCCTCCCTCGTTTAAGCAGAGATGCTCCGGTGGGGAAGACATAGGAACCGAGAAAGGCCCCGCGGGGATGCGCATGATCACAGGCCACAGCAGTGGGGGCCATGCTGCTGATGGAGAAACTACGAATCCAAGAGCAGGGAGAGCGGCCTTTGTCCCAGTCATCCACACCTGACCCCAGGTCAGTCAACCCGGGATTCCTCAGAGCAGGGGCAGCGCCGGGGGCTGGGTGGGCCGGTGCACAAGAAGCTGCACCAGAAACCTCTCCTACTCGGCAGTCAGTGGCGAAGGGGGAGAGGACCCAGGAGGCAGCTGAGGGAGCAAAGATGGGGTCCTGAAGGAGAGTCTCTGGAGGCCGGATCAGCAGAAAGAGTTCACACCTCACCCCAGTGAGGAAACGCAACTCTAAACCCCAAACGGGGGAGGTGTTGGGCTGGGGTGGGTTACTGGGGGAGGGCGGTGGGAGGAATGGCCTCACAGTGGCTGCCACTGGGAACATATGGCCAGGTCACCAGGGCTCCCTCCAGCTACCCCCAGCTCCGCCGGGTGGGCTCAGTCAGAGGAGGGCAGCTGACGGCTGGGGGTAGAAGGCGCAGAGGTCCTCATATTGACAGCGGGCTTTTTTGGCAAAGTGTCAGCAGACTGGGCAGTTAAATTTGTCTTCCATAACCTGAGATTTATCCTTGGGGGGCAGGTATTCTTGACAAGAGACAGCTTTTGAGTCTTCAAGGGTGTCTTCATTCTTCGTGAAAGCCTCCTGTGGGGGAACTATGTTGGTCTGGCCCAGAAAAAGGAGGCTCAGCACTGATCCCCCACTAATGGCAACCAAATGTGGGAGACCTGGGGCTCAAGCCTCCCCAAATTGGGCCTGTGCCCCAGGTAGGAGGTGGGAGACCCAGCAGTGGTGGAATCATCAGTCCCCTTGATCCTGGGGGATCTCAGGAAGAGAGCCTGTGTTCTTCTGTGTCTAGCTCCTTTTGCTCAACATCATGCTTGTGAGATTCATGCAGGCTGTGTGTAGCAGGAGTTCCCTAGTTTCATTGCAGTGTAGTATCCCATTGCATGCACACACAGCTACTTATTTACCCATTCTACTGATGGTAGACATGTGTTTCATCCCTGGGGTGAGGTGTGCACTCTTTCTGCTGATCCAACCTCCAGAGACTAGTCCCCCATCTTTGCTCCTAGGTCATCCTTCCCCTCACCACTGACTGATGAGCAGGAGGCATATTTGGTGCTGTTTCTTGTGCATCTGTTCACCCAGTCCCCGGTGCTGCCCTCCATTCCTGAGCCTGGAGCAGTTTCCCACCATTCCCTTCTTCTGGCTTCTTGTTTCAAGTCCTCTCATGTCATTCCAATTTGGGCTGACGTGGGGTCACCAGGCTTTCCATTGGCCATGGGGGGAGTCCCAGAAGGCTAGGTGGTCCTGGGGCGGCAGCTGCCACTGAATTTGCTTCTTCCATTTTGTCATCGAAGTGGCTGAGGCAGGGCTTCTCTTTCCCTTTCCAGGATGGCAGCGGAAGGGGGCAGTGGGCAGAAGTGCTGGGTTGACTTTCCTGGAGGCTGTGGGAGCCTTTGTGCCTTTTCTCATGTCACCCTCCCCACATCTCTGCCTCCACCCTCACCGCAGTCTGGAAGGCCAGGTCTCCTGCCCACCTGATCCTATAAATCTAAAATTATAGTAATACACATAGAAAACTTTTCTGTGAAATTAAACTTTTCATGTGTACTTAATTTTATTTTTATAAAAATATTTATTTTATTGATTTTTTACAGAGAGGAAGGGAAAGGGATAGAGAGTTAGAAACATCAATGAGAGAGAAACATCAATCAGCTGCCTCCTGCACACCTCCTACTGGGGATGTGCCTGCACCCAAGGTACATGCCCTTGACCTGAATCGAACCTGGGACTTTTCAGTCCATAGGCTGACGCTCTATCCATTGAGCCAAACCAGTGTCTATATAAGTAAAAACAGGTAAACTGATTTATTTGTTAATTTTTAGCATACAAATTTTAAAAAACCTGCTTTATTATATAACAAACTTTTGGTTTTAATGGACACCCCCATTAAATTAGTTGTTATATCAAGGTTTTGCTGTAATAAGCTTTCCTTTTAGACAAAGACAAGGCAGTTGTGAATTGTCATTACCAGGTAGGTAACCTGTTTATATTACTCAGTTCACCCAGTTTCACCATTACAATTTACAAAATCTATTTGTCCAGGGTGTGCAATGTGTGGAATAATGCTTCTTTGTGAAAAGCCAGGATTAATTTAGGAAGAAGGCCAAGCGCCTCTGACCATGTCACTCTGCTGTCAAATTGAGCTCTTGAGGCAGAAACCTATCTGAATATGTCGGTTTCCTGCTTAAAATCCCTTAGGCTCCAGGATGAAATTCATCTCTCTGACGAATGGTTATAGACTGTCCTCTAGTCTCACCTCTGGTAACTTCACTTTGCCCTCGAGGTTCCAATCATACCTACCGACTTTTCTCATTTTTTAAAGCTAATATTCACTGAACCTGCTTTGTACTACAAGTCAAGACCAGTGCTAAGCATTGTATATGGGTTACCTCATTAAGCCCTAATAACAACTCCAGGAGGTAGACCCAGAGGGTGTAAGTAACTTGCCTAGGTAACTTCCTATAGCCGGTACTAGTAAGTGCTAGACTAAGATTTGAACCCACGCAGTCTGACCACGGAGCCAATGCTTTGCCTTGCCTCTCCCCTGGAAGTACCACACTCTGTCTTGGCTTTCCATCTTTGTTTATGTTGTTCCTTTTGCCCTTCATACCTCTGTAACTCCTTTGCCTTGTTTAGAAGTCACAATGGACATCCCCTCCTCTCACATGTACTCACTCACATTGTACCTGTAGTTAATTCTGTCAGCAGTTGTCATACGTGTGTGTGTGTGTATGTGTGTGTAATTTTTTATTATCTCCCTTCTTACCAGGCTAACAGCTTTTTTTTAGCTACATATTTTATCTCCATATTCCTTACTCTGAGCTCCTAGAACATAGGAAGTCCCAAGTATATAAGATAGTCAATACAGTTTTTTCATTTAGAAAGAAGACAATGAATGTGTGATGTGTACCTTTTCCTCACCTGACAGTCTGGATCCAGCATTCAGGGCTGGGAGACAACAACAGGGGGGAGGGCCCAGGCTCATTCTATCTTTTTATTCCTCCATCCTGGAAGTGCCGCTCTTGTCCACCCATATTCAAACCAGAGGAAGGGAGAAAGGAGTAAGTGGAGCACTCACTCTTTCCCTTTAAGGACCCATCTTGCTATTTGTACTACTCACCTCTGCTCACATACTGTTGGTCAGAACTGAGTGATGTGGCTACACCTTGTTATAGGAGAGCCTGGGAAATGCATTCTGGGAGGCTATGTGCCCAGATAAAAACTATTAGTATTACTCTATATATAAAAGCCTAAGTGACTGTCACAACTGAAACAACTGAATGGACCACCAAACAGGCTGTGTGGGGTGACCAGGCTGGCAGGGGGTTTACTGAGAGGCAACCAAATGATTAAACAGCAGGCTGTGTGGGGCAACCAGGCCAGAAAAGGGGCAGTTGGGGGCAACAAGGCCAGCAAGGCAGGGGTGGGGGGCAGTAAAGGACGACCAGGCCAGAAAGGGAGGCAGTTGGTTGTGACCAGGTTGGCAGGAGGGTGGGGGGAGGTAGTGAGAAACAACCAGGCCATCAGGGGGGGGGGCAGTAAGGGGTGACCAGGCTGGCAGGGGGAGCAGATGGGAGTGACCAGGCCAGTGGGGGGTGGAGGGGCAGTTAGGGGCAATCAGGCAGGAAGGCAGGTGAGCAGTTAGGAGCCAGTGGTCCCGGATTGTGAGAGGATGTCCATCTGCCTGTTTAGCCTCGATCCCCAGGACAGACATCCCCCAAGGGGTCTTGGATTGGAGATGGTGCAGGCTGGACTGAAGGGGGGACAACCCCCCCTGTCCCGAGCATGGATTTTGTGCACTGGGCCTCTATATGAGAAGAAAAATGAATATTTGGGTATAACTATCAATTTTTGCCACAGTGAACAAGAATTTAAAAATCACTATTGTGTCTATCTTGGGTATATGTTTGTGCTGTGTTAAATTGACATGTTGAAAGTAATTTACTTGATAGACTCTAAGAACATTTTGTCTGGAATAATTTGTCAGTGTTTGCATTATTAAGTGAATCGGTTTAGTGGAAGGATGGAGGAGTGGCTTGTCAGAGAAGGTTTCGTGAGGGAGGAGGGTCTGATCTAATTTCTGAAGTATCAGTAGAAGTTAACCAGGTGAAGGTGAGCCCATGGCTCCAGGTTCGGAGGTTGGCATGGTGACCGGATACACATGGGCCACCATCAACTCCACTAGCTACACACCTGTGCTCAGAACTCTTGCATTCAGTTCTGGGGCTTCCCTGGTGACGGTGAGCATGAGAGGTTGTGGGGCACCATTTGGTGCACACAAATACACCCTATGCCTGAGATAAAAGCTGATGGATTTGTTTATAGCCCTTTCTCTCCAGGCTGGATGACCGTAAGGCGTGTTTTCAGTGGTTTCTCAGAGGAGTGGTCTGACGTCCAGCAGTCAAGCACACGCCATGTGCTGCACCCTCATGTGTCGACCTTTTTCTCTGTTTCACTGCCTGTCCTTCACTTCCGCCCGTGGAGTTGCTGTCCTTAGTAAAGGACAAATGCCCAGGCCTTCACCTTTCAGACTGCTTTCCAGAGATTACCTTGTTTCCTCAAATACTACTTCCTATTCCATCAGCAACAAAATTCATTCTCTTCTCTGTCAGCTCTGTGAAATGAGTGAGAGGCACAATACCCGTCCACAGGAGTTCTCTGCTTCCCTACCCTCCCTTTCCCTGGAGGATATTAACTTTTGTAAAGACTTACAGGCACAGGACTTTTTGGGAAAGCCATTCAACCACATATTTCAATTTGGATCACATTGATTCCATGTTAGCAGGTGGAGAGGGAGTTATTAAGTCTGCTCTTGAGTGGTTCTTGCCCTTGCCCTTGCCACAGAGGAGCTTGTCATCCACATGAGGGTGGACAGTCAGGCAGGTGGGGCTGGGGCATCAAGGAGTTGGAGTCAAGTTAATGTTAGAAGAAAAGTCCTCCCTCACCTCACCTCATACCTACAAAAAAATTCCCCCTCAGACACTCAGCAAGGAAAATTGCACAGTCTCTCCTTGACTGTGGAGTCCCTACTTTAAATAAAGAGGAGATTTTATCTACTACCTATTGGCCAATCTTGTTTTTGCCTCTTTTTTCCCCTTTAAATTATAAGAACATGGCATTAAAAACATTTAAGAAAAAGATAACAGATCATCCACAGTCCCACTCAATATAGTGCCAGAGCCTGGTTGGGAGCAGCTGAGGTCGGTGACCTTCATGGTGTGGTGGGTTCCAGGAATCTGTGATTCAGGCTGTGAT